ATGACATTGAAGACTTGTTTGGCATAAAACCTGGTTTGAAAATCGTATGAAGTGGCTGGATGTTTATAAAGTGGTAGAGCATATATAAATCCTAGGTTGTGCTGTGTTTACACGGGAGGGTTCACAGAATCTACTAGAACACACAGTAGGGAGGGTAGGTGGGTAATTTTTTGTAATATTTAACTCACATGGGTCCACCCATGTGAGTAATCTGGAGAAGTTCACCTGTAGACACAAACTAATTCATAAACTTTTTGTAGTTGCTTGGATCCTTGATCAAGAATAAAATATTATATCGTAACAGATCCAATACCCGACAAGGAAATGGGGGCACTCGTGCTGGATCCGTCGAAGTTAAACTCGCCATTAGGAAGAAGCTTGAAGTTTGAAGATCAAATTTGGAAGAAGACAGGTTAGTGGATTGGCCTTTTATTTTTAAGTTTGGGCATATTGTTTATTAAGAAAATTAGGTCCAAATCTAATTAGCTACTTGGAACCGGTTGAATTGAAATGAAATGAAATTACAAATCCATTATCCTAAATTCCTAATCCAACCAATTTCAAATTCACGAAAGGCAAACCCTACTGAGCTTTCTTCTTCCTGTTGCCTATGCACTCGCCAGTTGCCACTCAACCCCTTGCCTTTACCTGCTATTAACTATCGTCGAGTCGCCACCAATGTCGAGCATCTCCAATCTCAATGACTCGTGAGCAGTGCGCCTTTGCCTCTCTTGACCTTTTTTTTGTTCTTTTAATTCATTTTTTGATTTATAATTTATAAGTTATGACAATGATTTGTGATAAATAATTCAAGAAAAAGCCTTACCTAGTTCCTTCATAAACAATCATTGGGGAATTTTGCAGATTATAAGTAATTTGAACAATTTTGGTTGTTCAATCAGAACGAATTTTAATTGGTTTTGTTAATATATAATGCACGTTTAATTAATTTTAATATTAAACCGATCATGCATGTTCTCGTAAGAGACTACATGCATTGATCGTTTAACCATATTAGATTATATTTTCATATGTAAATGAGTTTTACATTTTAGTGCATTTACATATAGACTAAAATTTTTTAATATTATTTAATTAAATATTTATAAACAATCTCGCTATTATGATCGTTGATTATTGATGGTCAATGATCAATGATCGTCCTAGTTGACCTCCAATCCTAGATCCACCACTGATATCGCACACATATGAAAATCGTCATCAATCTTGGAAGCTTGGGTTATTAATAAAAGTTAATGAAATATTTAGCTGAAAAGTTTTTAAAAATGGTGTATCTCAAAAAATTTGTGATTGAAAATAAATTTTGAAGAAAAACAAATTTTAAAAAATGAGGACGCATGAGCTAAGTATTTCAAAAATTTAAAATTATGTTCCAGCATTTTGGCAATCTATAACATCCCTGTTCGTATAAGTTTGTTTAATAAGCCACTGTTTAGTAATCTTCAACAATTCCCTATTCATATAAGTTATATCTCAATAATTAATTTTAATCATATATTTAATGAGATTTACAATTATTTTTATCAAAATTTATTAAAATTTTAATTTTAATTTTAATCCCCACCAAACAACAAATAAGTATAAAAAATTAAAATTTCTTGAAATGTGGTGGCGGCCATTCTTAATTTTGGCTTATCAATTATGCAGAGCACTGATATTTAAGAAAAAGGGAAAAGAAATTGTCATATTGTACATGTAATCACGTTCTAAAAGACGCACATTGGTGTCGCTTAGCATGATGCGCGGCGAAAATGTCAAGTTAAGTGACTTGGCGCCTTATTTAGTAGTCAACAGCAATCGTTGATCGCTACTGGGTGGTTGTGCGCATCTGGACGAGCATAATTATCTTTTTTTTTAAATTAATTTTTAATTTTTTTTATTTTTTACAATTCTTCTAAGTTGAAAAATAAAAAGGAAAGAATTTGGGTTATTTATTTCGTCAGTTCTAAATTCAAAATAGTTTATTGAAAAAATGAAATCTCCAAAAATTCCTATTTATTCACTATTTAATATTTACATTTGGAACTTTTTTTTTTTTTTTTTTTTTTTGTATAGATTTCCCATAAAATTGTTTTAGATGTTTGGTAGGTATTATTTTTAATTATTAAGCGATTTTTCAATTGGTTGAAAATTAAAATAATATTAAAATAAGAAAACACATTTTTACGCTTTTTTATGCCTATGTCTCATCTAAGTTCGTCTAGCCCATTGCTTGACCTTCATACATCGTCACGCATTACGTCCTTTAGATCACTGCACGTAACATATCTAAATGAACTATTAAATAATGACATGGAATAATTGTGAAAAATCAGCCCCATAGCATTTAACCATAGAAATGAAGGTACAATTATTAGTGTCAAGATCTATATTGAATCGACATATCGAGTTCATGTCATCGATTGAAGGCAATAATCACCTCCACAATTATTGATCAATTATTGCTCTAATAAGAAATAAGCGAAAAAAAGAAAAAAAAAACACACACACACAGAGGCTTAACCCGATGAGTTCAATCATCAATTAATTCGTGTATGTGCACGAGCCACGATGGAGGGGAAGCAACTACCTTTCGATTTCCTTAACCCGCAAACAAGTCAATCTATATGAATAATTGCTGAAAAGTATTAAATGAGGATCGAATTATAAAAGTTAATCGACACAAAATAAACATATCATTTACACGTAAGTTTTGCAAAAAGCAATCATATAATTTCATTTTAGCGTATTATCCCTCTCAAATCAAACAAACATTATGCCAGTGCAAACCGAACGTCATTTTTATACATTGAAGCCTGTAAAATGACAAGTTTACCCCTTCTTCAAATAAACAAAAAGAGACAAGGTATTTAGAAAGGGGCATAAATTTGTCATTTTACGAGGTTTCAATAGATAAAATGAACTGTAGTGTTATTTTGTACAATGTTTGCTTGATTTAATCGGGTTATTCAGCCAAAATTAAAGGATATGATTATTTTGCACAAAACTTGCAATTATTACATGATTATTTTCTGTCAATTACTCGTTACAAAATTAGTATTCTTAAATGAGTTGCTAGTTTGTAAAGACGTGTTAAGAAAAGCTCCTAGGTTGCTTAAATATTGAAAATTTTAATCATCATACAGGTGATTGAGATATATAATCAAGAACTTAAGCAAAAATCTATTACTAGTGTTTTCTTAAAGAGCTCACAGTCAATGGTGTTAGATAATAATATGTTAAAAACGAAATTAATTATGGTAATACTGTCGATTAAAGAAAATTTTAAAAGAGGTGTATGAAGTAATTGTCACTGTATATTCAAGAAATGATTTCAACTAGATGTCATGAATTATATACATACAGCATTATTTCTCACCTAAAAGAAAGAATTAACCTACTTGAACAGGCCCAAAAACAGGGCTAAATCCAGGTGCCGAGGTGGTAACACCTCTCGGCCCTTGGATTTGGGAAAAAAAAAAAGATATGAAATCAGGGGCTAAAATGATGCCACCTCAGCTCCCTGTTTTTGAGCCTGGCACTGAGCTTGGCTCAATAGCACTGTTCTAAAAGAAATTCATAATTATCGGTATGCAATTTGTTCATCGAAAATTGAAGCGACTTTTTTCTTATTTTTTTGGTTCGATCTGTGTCTAAATATTATATTAGTTTAAATGGGAAGATGTGAATCTTAGTCCATGATAGTGAGAGCCTGATGAGCGTTGGATAGTGAGAGCAAGAGCAATTTAGTCCATGATATTTCCTATGATTGGTACGAAAATTAATTTATGTTAATTAAAGGTGTCGATTTAAATATATACAGACACTTGATACATAATTATTTGCATGAAAATTTCCAATTATGAAGACGAGTTGTCAAAATCTGTTTTAATTATAGCGAAAGAGGTAGGAATGCATGGTCCATGGCCAAATTGAAGAACCAATAATGCAACTAAATGGGCTCCACATTTATCCTGCACAGTTTGTAGTCATGTAGACTAGTGTGTATCGTTTTATTGTCGTCCAATTTGACGTTGTTAAAATCAGATTTTTAATAGATTTTGATAAAATTTAATGAAACGTATAATTAAAAAGTAAATAAAAGTTGTGGAACTCATTAAAATGTGTCGTTAAAATAAATAATTTACTTTTACTTAAATTTTTATTTACTTTTTAAGCTACATCAAATATGGACACAATAAGTCTTGTTTTGTAGCAATTTTTCATTTCAAAAATTCAATTTTTTTATCATTATTTTTACTATTCCAGCCGTTATTTTGACTTCTTCACCACATATAGGACCACTTTTCTCTCTATTAGTTAAAAAATCAATTCTCATAATCATTATCGAACTGACTCTAAATGAGGAGGTTTTCTAATGTATACAACTTGATCACAACTGTATATATAGACTCAAACAACTACATTCAGAACCAAATCATAGTATCAGACTATACGTTTTTCAAGCTTCTTTAGCTGCTCCATCCCTCAACCCCACACCTCTCTCTCTCTCTCTCTCTCTCAAGCATAGAAACTTTGAACGGAGGGGAAAATAAACATGGGTTTTATTGACCATATTTCAGAAGTGTGTTCAGATACAAGAACAAGAAAGAGCAAGCGCAAGGCCATGCAGGTATTCATCAAATCAGGCCAACTCCATCTTTTTTGCTTTGAGGTTTTTTTATATGATTACTATATATATAATCATATATGTTCAAAAACGAAGGTCTGAATTTTTTGGAAATGGCATGTTTAGACAGTGGAAATAAAGGTGAAAATGGACTGTGATGGTAGTGAGAGCCTGATGAGCGTTGGATAGTGAGAGCAAGAGCAATTTAGTCCATGATATTTCCTATGATTGGTACGAAAATTAATCTATGTTAATTAAAGGTGTCGATTTAAATATATACAGACACTTGATACATAATTATTTGTATGGAAATTTCCAATTATGAAGACGAGTTGTCAAAATCCGTTTTAATTATAGCGAAAGCTCATACAAGAAATGGCAGGAAGAATTGAAAAAGTTTAGTTAACCTTTTGTCCCCCGATTTACTGTTTGCCTTTGGGATTTCGCGCAATTTTTTTGATTGAATTTTTATGGAAGTAAACTCAAAATTCAAAATTCATTCGGCAAATTTATAAATAATTTAAAAAGATGAAGAGTAGCGAGTCTTATGAAATATGTGTACGATAATGCAAAATAGTTATAAATGTATAGTTAAATAATATATAACTTTAATTGAATTTATATACCATTTATAAATTTGTTGCCAAATGAAGGCTCAATCTATAAAGATCATTGCCCAAAACACGAGCAATTTAAATTCTCAAATGAATTGCCATCTTACTGGGTCATATTAAACGTAAACTCAAAAATTGCTGAATATAAACTGAACGCAAATTTTGGGTATGAATAAAAGTACACCTTGTTGATCATGTGGGAAAATTTCAGAGCCTCTATTTAGTTTAGTTTAGAAATTTTATTAAAATCTTAGTCAATGTCAACAGTCAACTTAACCATATACTTCATGATTCAGAACTTTTACCAATTTTTCAATCATACATTTTATCAACTTTTATCGAAATTTACTATTTGATTTTAAACACAATCAATCTGGGGTATAGTTTCCACCTTCTATAGCAAATTTTGTATTATTTTGTCACTAAAATAAGTTGGCGATTAGATATTGGTCATGAAATAAAAAAATCGAAATAATGATATGTCATCAAATTATTTTACAGGGACGGTCTCTAATAGATTCTAAAAATTAAAATGAATATATTATAAGGTTGAATTATAACTTTTCTTGATAGCTACACTCTCATTTTCATTCTAAATGATGCATTGTCCACACTACATTAATGTACGTACTTGTCAATCATTAATAACCTTTATTACTTATTTTTGGATATACGTAGGTGTAAGATCAGTGGACATAAATCGAAAGCAAAGCAAGGTAACAGTAAGTGGATACATGGAGCCAAACAAGGTCTTAAATCAAGTGAAAAGCACGGGAAAGAAAGCTGAAATTTGGCCATACGTTCAATACAATTTGGCGTATTATCCATATGCTCCTGGAGCCTATGACAAAAGAGCACCATCTGGGTACGTTAGAAATGTTGTACAGGCATTTCCAAGCCCTAATGCTCCTGCTGAGAAGTACACTTCAATTTTCAGTGATGAAAATGTTAATGCATGTTCAGTTATGTGAAGTGATTATTATTCGAATTAATATCTATAAGAACGTTTAATTAGAAGTTTGATTAGGGTTTTCAATTGAAAGGGACGTTTCAATTTTATTAGTGGTTTGGTTTGGTTGTAGAACGAGATTGCTTGTTACATAAACATGATATATCTTATTATTAATAAGTGATTTATAAACTTAGTAATGCTCTGTTTGGACATGAAGTTTATATCGGCGTTTTCTAAAAAGATACATCCATTAGGAAATAAAGTAAGTACTAACTTAGAGTGTAGTAGGAGTACAATTGGTATTAGAGACTATCTACTTTATATATATTTTTCTTTATACAATTTTATTCTTCTAGTGCTAAAGGTCTTCTCACTTGGGGAGAAAATGGATTTTCATCTTAAAGGATTTAGCACCATTATTACAAAGTAAACTTTACAAACCGTCTTTGATCTGTGAACCGAACTTTATTGATATAAGAAGAAATTATTTGCAAAATCTCGAGAAGTATTCTTAAAAAATTGGTGCCAAAACAGCATACTCAAAAATGTGCTAGGGATGGAAAAGGTGCTGGGCTAGCTAGGACGATTATTATCATTTTCATTACGTCAAAAATTTATGAGAAGCGGGATAGGAAGGGAATTAATAATCCCTCATTTGCTGTCCCATTAAATTATTTATATTGTATATTCAAATTGAAAACATAAAAATATAAGAAGAACAAAAAGATTTGGAATTCAGAAAATTCTAGGCAAGGGCTATGATCTCGTCCCTGTTCCTGTCTCTGTCCTAGCGTCCTTTATTAATCTGGGCACGGATTCCTAACAAGGGGCAAGTTGGGGATGAATGGCTTTGTCATCACCGCGTTGTGGTGTTCATCAAAATCATGGCCTTCGGTACAAAAAAATAGCTTAAATAAAGCATAAAACTTTTTAAAGTTACAACATAGAATCCTTCTCAATCTAGGAACCAATGCCCCTCCAAATCTAATAGGTTAAGAACCATTGTCGCATAAAAAGGTTGACATGACATTGCAACCACATTAACAAGTTAGAAATCAATTGTACAATCTTGTAGGCGCAGTGTACAGACAGCTCTTGTTTTCTGGTTCATTGGGGCACATCCCGCGATTTACCTCCTTCAGAAAGTTCTAGGGGTAGGGCGGTGGGGGCTCTTAAGGTTGGGGTTCAAACTTTTTTTTTAAAAATCAATTGTACAATCTTTTTCTTGTAAAATTCATTAATTTTACTGTCGACTACAATAACTTATTATTATCTAGAAAATATGTGGTAAAAGCATATGGAATTGCTTGAAAGTCCGGAGTGTAATAGAACGAACAGACACGACATAAAAGATTGCATTATATTCGAATTCCTAAATATCTGGGATCACCCTGTAAAAAGAGCCAAAAAGAAGCCATTTTTTAGAAAAATCTAAATAAAACATTGACTTTTGGCGTAAAATGCAATGTCGAGACAAATTACAGCACATTTTACCAATTATATTTAGTTGACATTTCTACATCTTGTCCTCAAAAGGAAGAACAATTAAAACAAAATAGATGAAATAAAATATAGTATTTATTTTGGATTTATTGGGAAATAATTGGATTAAGTTTACTTTATCTTGCCAACGAAAAGAAGTTTCTGCCAAATGAGACATTAATCTTTTTTATAAGATTTGATTAATTCTTGCACTTCAATGTGCATTCTTGGATCCATCACACCAATTAAGGATTAGTTTATGGTTCGTTTGGTAAAGCAGACGAACTTTACGAGTAAATATGAAATTTAAATAAATAAATGTATTTTAGGAATTTAAATTTTTAGATAAGGTGGTTTAATATATGCTTGATCAAACCTGGCCGATGCATTATAATAATTGTGAACTATCAAACTTTTTATGATGAAAAATAAACAAGAATTGAAGTTTTAACACTTTACATTTTTAGATGATTACTTGTTAAAATTCTACAAGTGTAAAATATTCTAGAAAAATAATAAAGCGGTGAATCATGCATCGTTCCACTGTGAATCTAGTTTTCATAAATAAACTTAACTTTAACATAACTTATTACAATTTCAATTTTAAACTAATTAATTCTAATTATCTAATAAAGAAATCAAGCCACCATTTGTTTCTCATTATTTCCCTATTAAAATGAAAAATATGACCGTTATTCATCACTTCAAGCCATCAAATTTGAATTTCTATCTCTTGTGTGGAGCTTATAACGACTATATTTCTTATTTTCATTTTTACAAAAATGGGAAACAAATGCCCCCTAAAAGTGATTTGATGATTTTATGAGAAAAACTCAAATTGTTGGAGTTTATATAGTTTTGAGACGATATATACTTTTCCTCAATTGAACTTTATCTATCATTTATCAAACTTTAAGATGAATGCTATAATGTGTTAAGCATATTTTTGATCTCTCAAAAATAACATAAGTCAGAAGTTCAATTTTGCCAGTGATAAAGTAAAAAAAAAAAAACATTAATAGAAATCATTCAGCTCGAATGGAAAATATTTTAAGATTAAAACTTCAAAACTTAGTTTCATCGTCATCTCAGTATATAAAAAAATTAGTTAGGGATACTCAAGTTACAAAAATACATGATTGAATGAGAAAACAACACTTGAATTTCAATTGATTGAAGAAAAAAAGAAGATTAAGTGTGTGTTTGAGCCACATTATTTTTGAAGAATTTATTTTGAAATCGTATATTGATGGAGAATGTGTGATTAAAAAATAAGAAAAAGTTTTAAATTTACGTATAATGTTATTTTATTAAAAAAATGTGTGGTTGAAATGATGTCAAATCACTATTTAAAAATATATTTTTTCAAAATAATGGGGTTCAAACAGGCCTAAACTCGAACTCTTGAATTGGTCTAGAATTACCATCTTTCCTCTTTTTGCTTTGAACCCAATAAACATGAACGTTGATGAAGAACTTGAGAGTTTGTGGTGTTTTGGTCTCCAAATTTCATCCTTGAGAATGTGCATGAGAACCCATATATATAGGTGAGAGTTTATACTTCCAAATTTCGTGCCAAACTTGAAATAAAAAGTGCTTAAAGAAATCAGGCCAAATTTGTGATTCACAGCAAACTTGTCGCTTGGACGGATAACTATAAGTTTTTCTTTCCGTGAGGTTGGCTCAGGTGAACCTTTTGTCAACTCAAGGCCCACCGGAGCCGATGGAAATTCTGATTGGAGCATTTGATATTTTATCGAAATAAAATATTTTATTTGTATATTGATTTTTGAAAAAAAAAATGATTTTTTAACAGTTAAATGAATAGAATCAGTCTCGACCAAGGAATCAATCCCTCTTCAAAACTAATAGCCCGAGGACCATATTTGGGGGAAAAAAAATGGTTGGACGTGGCCCACGTGGACAATTTAGCCTTATCTGATTCGGGCACTTTGGCATTTTCCATGTCCTATCTCACGACTTAACATAGACAATTAAGTTGACTTTTCTTTTATCTTGTCATAAAAAAAAAAAAAGGGGTATCAAATTCACTTTTGCTGGGAAAATGGTAGAAAAATTAACGAACATAATCTTCGGATTAAACTCACTATTGCTGGCCAACAAGGATAAGTTTCTGCCAAAAGGAACATTAATTTTTCACAAGATTTGATTAACTTTTTGTGCTTTAATGTGTATTCTTGGATAGCCTGTCGATTATGGATTAAATAATTTCCTTTGGTAAAATAGACTGAATATATTAATAAACACAAAATTTAAACAAATAGACACGCCTCTTTTAAAGTTTTAGTTCATGCTAGAGTAGACAAAAGTGAAATGATCAAGTTTTAATAGCCTCACTCCTTTACAAAATTGTTCATGTATCGGACATTTTATGGTTAAAAACTCAACCAAATTTATGATCGTAACAGTGACTGATGACCAAGTAGTACGTAATATCTACCGACAGATTTCAGAGTATCTCTGCGCCATGCCCAAGCTGCATCACAACAAGCATTTATTTGAAATGAGCTTCTAGAGATTGCTTAATATCTTAATAATTGACGGGCTGCATCTAAGTGTGGTACTTGAAGTTTATTCATAAATTAACTAAACATGTGCACCAAATAATAGCTATATATCATCTCGTAATAGTCCAATAGATCAATCGACCAAGCAATCTTCAGTGTTGAGAAGAATCTCCAAGTAGTTCATCTACCTTACTAAGTTTCAAATTTTGCAACATGGGAAATTTGTGGGCTTAACACCAAGAAAATCAGTATCTTGTAATATTTCAAAAACATATTTTCTCTGAGATAGGTGAGTTCCCTTCCTTGATCCTGCAACTTAAATGCCTAGAAAGTACTTGAAATTTCCAAGATCTTTCAACTTGAAATTCTCATCAGGAAACCTTATAATTCTTGAATTTCTTCAAATCATTTCCTGCTAGTATCACATCATCCACATATATTAATTAGTATAGTAATTGTAAAGCTATATCCTCTACTTGGACGAAGAATAGTAATTTGCCGTGGATTGTATATAACCAGCATCTCCTAGAGTTTAAAAGACCATTGTCTTTATACTTGTTTCGAATTGTATTTCATCCGAATCCTGGAGGGAGTCTCATATATACATCTTATTAAAGAGCCCCTTACAAAATGCATTATTTACATCTAGTTGACGGAGATACTAATACTGAACATCTACAATAGCAAGTAATACTTGTACCGTGATCGTCTTTGCAACCAGAGCAAAGGTTTTTGTATAGTCTGAACCTTCAATTTGATTATATCATTTTGCAACCAAACGGGCTTTGTATCACTCAACATTAGTCTATATAAGTAACATTACTCAATAATATAACCCTCATTTGGTTCAGTTAATAGTAGATTTTGATAGAAGTTGATAAAATTTGTGGATAACATGAAATGTATTATTGGAAATGGATAATACACATAATACAATAATGTTGAAAATTTACTTAACACGTATAGCGGAAAATAAAACAGATTTTGATTCCCACCAAGGATTTTCATTGTACTTAGAGAGAAATTGTGATAAAAAAAATATATCTTTAATAAATTTCTTAAAGAACATTTCTGATCTGTAATCTACATTTGTTCAATCGTCCAATCTCCAATAAAAATCTACACAGTGAATAAGATTGAGAAAATTAGGACTTTCTT